TGCTGGTGCTGCCTCGCTATGAAGGTGAGCCCAACTGGTGGCCGTCCCAATGTCCTGCACCATGGGATGGGTCGAGTCACCGACCACTTTCAGTGGCACGTCGGAGACTACCTGCGACCAAGCAAATGAACGCTTCCTAAAGTCCCCCAGAGCCTGTCCTCCGCACAGGCTTGAGCATCACGCCGAAGGAATGGAAGACCTGACCCGTCCACCCACTCCAAGACCACGAGAAAAGGAGGACCTTGCGGCAACGCAGGAAGTCCTTGGGATAGCCACCTCCCCCTTGGAGGCCGAGCCGGACCACTTCACTGGACCCTCGAACAGACCTCTGCTCCAGCCCATCATCGGGCGAAATGATGTGTTCGTTGACGACTTCATCCAACTAGCCAAGGAGGAAAGACCCGTATGAAAGCACTGCGTAGGCACTTGCTCCATGCCATCGACGAGATCCTCGCACGCCCAAACCTCAGTGAGAAACATCGCAATGAGCAGTCTCGCTCAAGAAACTACTGCAAGGTGATGGAAGCTGGGCTACTCGAAAGCTCATCCTGGATGGATGCATTGACACCCTGCGAGAGACTCTGGAACTCCCTCCCCACGGAAGCAAGCGCTCGCTGACATCTTCAAGGAATTAGCCGGGTGTCGCAGAGTCAGCCACAAGCGTTGGATGCAAATCCTCGGCAAGCTGCGCTTCGTCTCTGTTGCCATCCGGGGTTCCGCTGGACTCTTCAGCGCGCTCCAGCTCGCCCTCATGAAGTCCAAAGGAGGAAGAATCCGGATCAACACCGCATTGAGATCCCACATCGATGCCTTCGCTGATCTGGCTGCCAGCCTCTGCCACCGCCCAACTCACCTGGCTGAGATCGTCCCCCAGGACCCATCCTTCTTCGGAGCCACTGACGCTGCCAAGGCTGGAATGGGCGGTGTCTACTTTGACTCTGAGGAAACTCCTTACCTCTGGAGGCTCCCATTCCCTCCCGATGTGCAGGCTCAGCTCGTGTCCACGGACAACCCGAGGGGACCGTGACCAACAGTGACCTCGAGCAGGCGGCATCCTTGCGCAACACTCCTTGCAAGCAGCGCGCACTGCGTCACCTACGCCACCCTCTACACTCTCTCGGACAACACCCCGGCCGTCTCCCGAGTTCTCCAAAGGGGCGGTCACCTCAGATGGTCCTGCGGCGTTCCTCTGCAACTACGCCTGCCGCCACCAGCCGGAGCACCGCTACTGCGCCTTCTCGTCCTACATCCCGATCCTGCCAACGTGATGGCCTGATGATGCGTCGCGCCTGCAACACCTCACCCTGCCTGACCTTCTCGCCCACTTTGAACAGCGCTATCCGCAGAACAGACCCTGGCAGGTGTTGACTCTGCCACCCGAGGTCAGTTCACAGTTGAACTCCGCCTTGCGCTGCAGACCGCTTCCAAAAACATTGTCTCCAAGACGGCCGCTGCCCGGGACCGGACCTTCGGACGATGGTGTGACTTCTGCGCAGGCCTCGGCGTCAACCCATCCCTCTGTGATATCCCTAACCAAGAGGTCCAAGCCTGCTACCTCCTTGTCTTCGGAAACCGTTACCGCGAGTCTAACAATGTCCGAGCTGACTCAGTGGACAAGGCCATTCTTGCCGTCGGGAAGGGGATCACCGACCTGGGTCACCCGGATCCCCGGAAGCTCAAGGCTGGATCCGACCACAACCATCCAATACTCGCTGCTTTCCTCAAAGGACTCAGAGATGAAGATGGACCCCCTGACCGCGCCTACCCATCAACCTCTCCATCCTCCGAGCATGCTCGATGCCCTGGACTACGACGACGCCACTTGGGGGACCTCAACCGCCACGTCCGAGACCTCTGCATCCTGGCCTTCTTCTGGCTCCTACGCCCTGCGGAGTACCTGGACACCGGGAACCTTGAATCCCGAAGCCAAGCCTTTCGCCTCTGTGATGTCTCCTTCACTGTCTGCGGCGGCCTCCAAGTCCGCGGTGACACCATCTCTTTGAATGACGTGAAAAACCACGCGTGCCTCACCGATGCCACGTTTACGTTCACTGACCAAAAGAATGCTGTCCGCGGCGAGTCCGTGGGCCACCGCCCGACCTCTGATCCGTGGCTTTGCCCGGTGAAGTCCCTCGCGCGTGTGGTCTACCACCTCCGTACCAACGGCGCCGACGCCGATACTCCCCTCTTCAACCACTTTAATGCGGCCCACAACCGGTGGTATCCTGTGAAGCCCCAGTTCATCACCAACGCCCTCCGCCACGCTGCGGCCCTCATCTCCCACGACACCGGCATCAACCCTGACAAGGTCTCTGCCCGCTCCCTCCATCCTGGTGGTGCCACCGCCCTTCTCTGCGCCCATGTGACTCGATGCCATCCGCCTTCCTCGGCCACTGGAAGTCCGACGCCATGCTCCGCTACCTGCGCATCCAACGCCGCGCCACCACACCACCACTCCCAACAGATGTTGGACCATGGGCGTACAACTTCCCGGGAGGCACCTACGATCGCCACCTCCTCCCGGCACAAGCGCCCCAACATTCAACGAGATTCTTCTCCACGAAGAACTCTACGAGGACAACCTACCCTAGTCCTCGGCCCCCTGTCCTCGCCTCCACCTGGACAGGGGGTAACTTCTCCCACCCCGCTACGCTCCCTCCCTATTCTGCCTTTGGCTTTTGGTTGCACGACTCAAGGCTGTCCCGTGGAACATCACATTCCCGGGACTCCCTTTTGCCGTGTGGGGATCATTCTCCCCAGTCCCGGATGGTACCCCGGGGACTGGAGACGGTCGGCTCAGTAAATGGCCGAGTCTCTCCACTCACCTAATCCTCTACTAGTCGTGTCTAGCTGCTCTGGGCAGCGCAGCTTGTCTGCGCCCGGTGTTGAGCAGCAACACGCCTGGGAACCCCCCGTCCGAGTTTCCACGCCCCGCAGCGTGGAAAATTGAACCCTGATGGGTCTCGCAACTATGACCCTAATCATGGTTGCCGAGAGGACCATCTCACAATTTGCAAAATTAATTCCCGCGCTCCTCCCTACAACTCAAGTACATCTCACATCTCCCAGGTCATCACTGCGTTCCTGAAATGGATAACCCACATGATGATGCACCGCATCAGCTCCTCAATGCCTCTCGAACAAGATTACCCTTAAGGCAACGACGCCCGTCCAAGACCACATTTGGCAAGATCGACAGCGGCAACCATGAATCACTAAAGCCAGCGACCTAGCCAAGACCAGCCATTGAACTGCCGATCGCAAGAAGGTTGTCTCTCTCTCAGCTCACAATTCTTCATTAGCCGACGCTGAAGGAAGAACCTAGATTAGATTAACCCACCTCTCCCTCCCTGGTTGCACACTCAAGGCTGTCCCATGGAACATCACATTCCCGGGACTCCTTTTGCCGTGTGGGATCCATCCGGGACTCCCCAGTCCCGAATGGTACCCCGGGGTGGAGACGGTCGGCTCAGTAAATGGCCGAGTCTCTCCACTCACCTAATCCTCTACTAGTCGTGTCTAGCTGCTCTGGGCGAGCGCAGCTTGTTGCGCTCGGTGTTGAGCAGCAACACGCCTGGGAACCCCCCGTCCGAGTTCCACGCCCCGCAGCGTGAAACTTGAACCCTGATGGTTCTCGCAACTATGACCCAATCATGGTGCCGAGAGGACCATCCTCACAATTTGCAAAATTAATTCCCGCGCTCCTCACCTACAAACTCAAGTACATCTCTACATCTTCGCAGGTCATCACCTGCGTTCCGGAAATGGTACCCCACATGATGATGCACCGCATCAGCTCCTCAATGCCTCTCGAACAAGATTACCCTTAAGGCAACGCCCCGTCCAAGACCACATTTGGCAAGATCGACAGCGGCAAACATGAATCACTAAAGCCAACGACCTAGCCAAGACCAGCCATTGAACTGCCGATCGCAAGAAAGTTGTCTCTCTCTCAGCTCACAATTCTTCATTCAGCCGACGCTGAAGGCAAGAACCTAGATTAGATTAACCCACTCTCCCTCCCTGGTTGCACAACTCAAGGCTGTCCCATGGAACATCACATTCCCGGGACTCCCTTTTGCCGGTGGGATCCATCCGGGACTCCCCAGTCCCGAATGGTACCCCGGGGACTGGAGACGGTCGGCTCAGTAAATGGCCGAGTCTCTCCACTCACCTAATCCTCTACTAGTCGTGTCTAGCTGCTCTGGGCGAGCGCAGCTTGTCTGCGCTCGTGACTGTACAAAGATAGACTCATCTGCCATTGATGACGCTGAAACCACGCTGAGCTTCGAAACGAAGAATCGGATGCAGCAAATGATGAACCTTAATAACGTGATGACGGTACCATACATTCAAGAAAATGAATCAAATCGTTGCTGAAACCGTGAAAGTTTCGGATTTGCTGTACGGTAGATAGCAAACTCCAAGCTCTCCCCCCTCACAAATCAGTGAGAAACGAGCTCATTAGCTGTCACACCTGGTTTCCTAAGCACTTCGAAAATGGATTGTTTGAGTTCTTAGCTAGTGTGGTCGGTATGACGATCCCTCTCTTTGTCCACTATAGCTTTCACACACCAAGCTTTCCCTCTTCACGCTTTTTCCCATACCAGCTTTCAACCACTCCTGCTTTCGCCGACTTCGCCCAGCCTAATTACGAAGTTGGTGGCTTATCTGCTCAAGTTCTTCTGTTCTTGCTTACGGAGTATTCCATTCATTGAACTTTCGTCTGTGCATGAAACACTCTTTAGAATTAGACCAGCTACTAGTCGGGTGAATGCAGAATAACACAGGGAGAACGCAGGCATCCAAAATGTGGAGGGACTTTGGTCAAAGATTTTTTGGGGCACTTTATTGATAAGAAGCCTTTTAAAACAAGCAATATCTTAAAAAGTGTCAACAGGAACCATTAAAAATGAACCACCAAAACACTGGATCTGGTGCGAATACAGCTCAGCTGGTTTCTAGCCAGCGGCAGCAATCTCCGCTCTCCATCTCCACAACCTGAAACACCATCGTGCTACCGGTAGTAATCCGTTGTCCAGAAAGACCAAGCAGTTTGAAACCATGGCACATCCTCCTGCTGCCAGCCGCCGTTCCACTCGAAAATGTCAATCTCCAGTCCGCCTTGGCTTCGACGACGATGGAGCAGAGGAAAAGAACAAGCGGCAGAAAACTACACATGGGTCCGGAAACAAAAACAGCGCTTTGCTAGAAGCACTTCCGGAAGAAATTATCCAAAGAATCATCTGCGAAGATCTCGCCGACGTCTCGAATCACTTTTCATTGCAATCAACGAACAAATTGTTCTATAAACTTTCCAGGTCGGCAGAAGGGCGCAAGAGCTTGAAGCTTCTTGATGGCGAAAACTCCACCTTCCCTCTGAAACCCTCAGAGCTTCTCCCTTATGCCAACAACAATAACATGGACGCCATCTATCTGTTGGCAATGATAGCAGTGTACGTGGAAGACGACCTCGAAGTTGGGTTTTCTTTACTAGAACGAGGAGCCCGTGATGGCCACAATTTAGCCAAGCACGAGTTGGGCATCCTGCTCAAGCGTGTAAGCAAAACCGCTGGTAACGTTGAGGAATATCTCAAAGCAGGACAAGAGTTCATCAATGAAGCAGCAGCGGCGGGGCTGGCCATTTCTGCTCTTGAAAAGAATCAGCAAAATCGACAGTTGAGAGAGAAAGCTGGAAAGGAAGTGGTTGCTACGCTACCTTTGATGGATCTGGTCGCCCAAAAGCCGCCGGCTCCACGACCCAAATGGCAGTGGACATCCTGCTCAAATCCGTCATGTATGCGCGGCAGCTATATAATAACTCCTCGCTGCAGGCGGTGGTTGGCATTGAAGGACCACTCGGAGGATTGGAAATCGTGCCGTTCTTTGGTTCAGTCCTGTGGCATGCAATCTGCTTATTTCTGCCCTGAAAGTCCCTACAGCCTGAATAGCATCCCCTTGTGTGCTGGTTGTCGGGAGACTCCATATTGTAGCAGAAGTTGCCAGCGTCTAGACTGGCCTCAGCACAGAAGAGAGTGTTCGTTCTGACGAGGAACAACATACATGTGAGAAACATATGAATGGAAACAGGGGGGAAAAGAAGAATGGTTCCTATCGGCGCAGTCAGTTTCAGGCGGTACCGGTACCGTCTGTTGTGCAGGTGGGCGGATTGCTGGGTCAATAATATTATATACGGTAGCACGATGCTATCAATCAACAATGGCAGTAAGAAGTTTGATTGGCTGTTTCTAAAAAGTTCGGAAAATGCTATGGAGATGGGCCTTCTCTTCTGTTCTTCCTCGCACCGTAGGGGATACGATTACGTCCTTTGAAGCCGCCCAGCTATGATAGCCACCGCGAAAGGGCCTAATAGGAGTGTTACATTTAGTTTGTTCAGTACCTACATCAATTGGCTTGGCCCTAGTGGTCATCATAAGTACTGAGTAGCCTTTAGGCCCAGCTTGGGTAATGGGGTTGCAGAGCTTCAAAACTATTCTCTGTCATTTTGAAGATCTCTCGATGCAAACTTGAGGGCCCAGCAATCATCTTGGACGGCTGCAAGCACAATTTCCTCGCTGGCTTTCACCTGAACTGGTGGTTCTTCGAGAGCCCTTTTTTGTACCGTCGAGTCGAGAGCCAATGTTCCTGCTCCACTGCGTTCATTGCACTAGCTACAAATTTTGGTCAGCTGTGGCTACAACAGGAGAATAGGGAGTTGTGCGCCTTGCCAGAGGATATGATAGATAACGCCAATATGCCAGGGATCCAACGGTGCTTGCTAACTTCGCTTTGTCATACCATACTCTAAATCCCCTACAGTCGTACTGTATGCATACAGCAATCGTGGCCGCTCTGCTGGTTGCTTCAATTGTTCCGACAGTATTTCCAACTTCCCTGCAATTTACCCAGACTCCATTCACGCTCCAAAGATCCTACAGCGTTGCAAACCCATCTCGCAAACGATCATCGGTCTGTTCGGCAATTCTCCACAGCCCCTGGAGGAAGGATCAATCGATACAAGTAGTTCCTTTCTAGAAGTCGAACACAAACAATGGCAAACCGGCTCTCGGCTCCGCTCCTTGCTCTTGCTCTCGTAGGATTCCCCACTGCATCTTTCCCTTTCTCGTTACAGCCCCTACAGCTACGTCCAAGGTTTGATGTTGCAAACAGAAAAGGCACTCTGGTCTCTTTCGTGACACCAACGTCGTGCGAGAATGAGATGGAAGACGCACAAAATGCTACACGCCCACGTCGAGGCCCTCCTTTCCCACCAGAAGCATACCATCTTCTTCAAGAGGAAGAAGAGCAGAAACACATATTCCTATCCTTCATCGACCACTTGGACGAGCCGTACACGCAAATAGCATCGCTCACAGAACCTCGCGCGTATGCCAGGGCCGATCAATTTGAAAATGAGGGTTCCAAAAATACGGTCAAGATTCAAGAATCGCCAACCATTGACGATGTGGCATGTCCCCCCTCACGGTACGGTCCAGTCGGTACTTTTTTCTCTTGGAGTGGATTGCCAGCACGAGTTGTGGTAGGAGCATTGGCCTACTTTGCCTTTCCCGTGATTATTGATATTTTGGAAACATTTGCTGCTGTGGACTACACACAGGATACCGTGGTTGATTTGAGCTTTCTGCAGCGAATTCGGTTCATTTATCCAACAACCTACATGGATATTGGAGCAGAGCCTGCTTCCAAGATTGTCGAGGTGACCATCACGGAGGAAGAACGAAAAAATCTGGCATCCTTGGTAAATCTATACATTCCTGGAATTTCCATTGTGCTCGGTACTTATATCTCAATGACACTGAACATCCTGTATGAAAGGATGAGACGACTACAACTCACTATTACGGAAGAAGCAAGCATGTTGGCATTCTGTTTCCAAGTCCTCTTGGATTTGTTCTCCAGAGACCGAAACAACTTGATACCCAGCACCCAGTCCATTGCGGATCAAATCCATGTCTTGTTGCGGGAGTCTCGAGGAAAGGAGACTATGCGAATCATTTACAATGATCCGCTGGCAAACATATTGAGGATTGTCCAACGCTACAGTAGAAAACCAAACAGTTGCACTGGTAACGACGCGACTCTGGTGGGAGTTGTGAGGGACTGCATCCGACAACTCTATGAGCTCCGATCCAGGCGCATGAACGACGAAGCTCTGTTCTTGGCGCCTACTCACTACGATGTCATGACCTTTCTTTCCATTCTGTTACTGGTGGGGGTTGCCTTGGGAACCGTTGCTACAGCGCAAACTAACGGAGTCCCCACCGAACTGTCCCGGATTCTATTTGCCATTTTGGTGGTTTGCTACACAACCATTTACGAGATGAGCTATGATCTCAATCGTCCCTTTGATGGGAGCTATCAGTTGCGACGATCAGGGGCAGCTATGCACTTTTTGCAAATCAAAAACATGGTTGCCAACCACCCGGTATTGAGACGCGAGATTACATTTTCCCCTGATATAGATGAAACACTACTCGACGCTGACAATAAGGAGATTTCCGAGACGATTGTGAATGGAGAAAGTCGCAAGGCTGCAAGCTATGAACGCCGCAAGCGAGACATCTGGTACAACTAATCAACCTGTTGCAGTAGGTGGGTGGAATTGGCTTGTGTTCATTTGAGGAGAGTTTTGAGTGTAACGTAGAATTGATTGAATGATTCTACGGTCGGTCGGATAGAGCCAGTTGAACCTGCACGGATGAGGCGAACAGCAAGTTTGACAGATGCCGAGGTGCTGAAAGCGGGCTCTGCAAAGTCTGCAAATGCCAAAGTCCTATAAGTTTTGCTGATAGACAAGAACCAGAACAAGGTGAGCAAAAGGTTCCGATGAGAAGACCGCCGGCAAGCGTACCGTAGGAACAAGGAACTACAAGCGGCAACTACAAGAGGTACGAGAATCATTTTTGTCTTTTTTCTTATAAAATAATAGTTATGCTAGATACAAACAGTGCCGTTTGCGCTGGAGTTGGCACGACATTTACGCAACACTGGGGTCCACAGCTTCCTCTTTACCTCCGAGAACAACATTTGCTGTGGTTTCTTCTGCGTCTGGTGAATCTTCTTCTTCGGGTTCCGTGCAATCAAGAATAGACTCCCCTGTGAGGTAGCCAACAGCATCGGCAACAGGATCTGACAAGCACAAACCAGCGCCTGAAGTACTTCCCTTCAAGTCACACCAAGTGCAAGACTCGTCACACACATCCACGGACGAGCTCTGGGACAGACAAGGCAAGAAGTCATTCGGGAGAGACTGAAAGAGCGGAGCTGCGTCTCCTTCAGGCGCTGAAATGGCTTCTTTGCCCTTGCAGGTAACTCCCAATGGTAGAGCCAGGTTGGCTTGCTCAGCCGACAGACAAGCATTGACACCAAGGCTACCTAGTTGACACCACTCGCAAGGCTTGCCTGTAACGGAATCTTTGCCGGACTCACATTTCTCTTCATCTCCGAATCGTCCTGCGTCGATGAGACAAGATGTGTCAACCTTCGGTCCATCTTGGGGATTCCTCGCAGCGGCATGTTGTTCCGAATCGATTATGCAGTCGAAGAACTCATTGCCGTTGACCGCAACAACAGCTTCGTAGGAAAAGCAGACACCAGCTCCAGCCTGTGTGTTGCACCAAGTGCATGCGTTTGCTTTGGTAGAGGCACATGCTTCAACTCCTGCGCCAGTGTGTTGAATGCAGTTCCAGAATTCTTCCTTGACAGCCTTGGCCTCTGCGATGTCAGTTTCGGACAGTTCTTCGTTCACCTCTTCATCACATGTGCCGCCAAATGGCTTGACAAACTCGGCTTGTTCATCCGTCAAACAGATTTGGAAGGAGTTCCATGAACACCATTCGCAGGCTGTTCCATCAGCGTCCTTGGTGGCAGTGCAAGCGTCCTTGCTCGGGCCATTCTGCATTGACAAGATGCAGCTCGTGTCAAAGTCTCCAACATCGTCTTCTTCTTCTTCTTCTTCAGCTGTCTCAGCATCATTCTCCTCGTCTGTCTCTTCCTCGTCTTCATCCTCGTCTGCGTACTCTTGGCTACGAGCTGCATGTTCCTTCAAGATTTGCTGGGCGTCCGTCGAGATAGTTTCACATTCAATGCCCATATATTCGGCAACTTCAGCCTGTTCCTCATTGAGACACATGTTGAAGCTGGTTCCCATTTCACACCAGTTGCACGGGTTTCCTTTTGCATCTTGAGTTTGAGCGCAAGCAAGTTCACTGTCATCACTACTGGAAGTGCGTAGAGTGGTAACCATACAAGAAGTATCAGAGGTCAACCACAGAGAGTCAATATCCAAGTCCTCCTCCTCTTCTTGAACCTCTTCTTCTGGGATGCCCTTTGCTGCACGCTCGATTCGCTTGGCTTCCTTCTGGGCGTGGATATATTCTTGGTGTTGTTGGATCGCTTCTTGAGCCATTTTGTGTTCTGAATCATCCATGACACAAGTAGCACCCCAGTGCTCAACCAATTCGGCTTGGACACCTCCAAGGCAAAGTTCGACACCCATAATATTGCACCATTCACAACCATTTCCATCCAAGTCCATGTGTTTCCAGCATCCTTGGTGCGTCAGTCCACTGTCCTCGTGCATGTGGGCAATGCACGAATCATCAAACTCTTCAGGTTCGAAGGATTCATCACTGCCAGTGCAGACAGCACCGACATACTCGGCCACTTGAGCTTGGGATTCACTGAGACAAAGGCGGAATGGGCTTCCAGCGACTGCACACCATTCACATGGATTGCCAGAGATATCGCGAGCCTGGAAGCAAGCAGCTTCCGATGTAGCTTCGTCATCATCTGGATCCAAGAGCATTGCGGAGAGAACACAAGAAGTATCGACGACAAACTCGTGCATATCGTCTTCTTCCTCATCTCCATCTTCATAATCTCCATCTTGTTCTGCTTCTTCGTCTTGTTCCTCTTCGTCGTCATAGTCTTCATCGTCTCCTTCCTCGTTTGTGGCGTCACGGGAGGCAGCTTCGTCAACGTCTTCGGTATCCTCGTCATCATATTCTTCGTCATCATCAGCATTGCCTTCAGCATCATCATCGGTACCTTCAGCATCGTCATCAGCATCATCCTCATCATCTTCTTCGTCTTCATCAGCCTTGCAGTCAAACCAGTAGCTATCCGAGGCCATGTCAGCAGCTTCCTTGGTCAAACAGACACCAAAGCCTCCCTTGGTATTACACCAAATGCAGCTACCGGCTCCACATGCAGTCTCGTCCTTTGATTCGAGGCATTCCCATAGCGGTCCTGGGGCTTTGTCGTCATCGGGTGCAGGCGGTGCCTTGTCATCATCGCTGCTGTCGTCGCAGTCAATAGTTGGAATTGCCTGTTTGAATGTCTGCGCTTGTTCCTCGCTGCAGCAAAACCCAAAGCTGTTCAGAATACACCAGACACATCCAGTGCCATCATCATCCTTGGTACCATCACACACATCCTTGCCAGAGGCCCCAGTCAAAGTACAGGTGAAAGATTCTACATCATCTCCTTCCTCTTCGCCCAACGGAATGGCATGTTCTGGTTTTTGCAAACGGTCATGTCTCAATTCTTCTTCAATGGCAGCATGCCCCTTTTGCTGATCATGCGATTTAGACAATACTTTCGCCTCGTGAGCCGTTACCGCGGCAAACAAAGAGGCAAGCAATAGCAATCTTCGTGGCATCATCGTCGCTCTGTGTTTTGATGGTCGTTGCAAGAAAGAACGATGACAGTCAGTGCTTGAAGAGTGCCTGCAAAACGAGCAGATCTTATACGCATAACGTCTGTTCTTCGTCAGATGCACAGATTCGTTGAACGGTCAGGTGCACCGTTACGGTTGCAAATGTCATCTTCAAAGCAAGAGATGAACATTCAATAGTTCTCTCGAGAGGTCCACCAGCGCGGGTCGATAGCAGCACCTCCACACAACATGGATGTGATCGTGTGTAAATTTGGAGGGGTTTGGCTGCCAAGCTGTGGGTAGTTTTCTGGCTATTATAGCTTTGGCAATCTTTTATAGATGTCCACACCTTATAGTTAGTTCTCTTGTTTGATTCATGATGGCAATGACAAGCAGCAGTAAACTTTCGGACCGTCGCACTCTTGCCAAGTGTCCAGTTACCTCACTGGTGATGCATATCTGCCAAGGCAGTTTCCAATCGCCAAACTCGTGAGGGCTCAAGGTGCAGCCAATCTGGAGAGGTGCAAAAACCTGTTAGAAAAATCTGGAGAGTTGCAAAATTCCATGATCAGGTGCACCAGCCAAAAGGAAGCTTATGTTCTCCAAATCATCGTCATTATTGCAATCCCTCGTGATCGTCCTTCGCCTTTCATGCGAAACATTTTGACATTTATGTTAGGCCAACAGCACATACACGTGGATAGCTAGCTTGGCTAGTTTGATCTACTGGTATGGTTTTCATAAAAGCTAGCTAGATGATTCATTCTTAGTTGCTAAAAATAAATGTTGCTAAACAAACACTGGATATGGAGACACACATGGAAAGAAAGCTCCTCGTGGCAGGCACCAACTCCCAGCCAACCACAAACTCCCAATAGCCACTCGGTGTTCAACAACACGCAAATGGAGCCAGATTTTCATCATCTTGTATGGGGCGAAAGAAGGGATGCGCAGTCGTCACGACAGCCGTATCACTGCTGTGCATTCTCGTCCTGGCCAAGGAGGCCCGACGAGGCGAGTACATCACGGCAGTGGTACTTTGACTGCGAGTTTTTGGGGCAGTAGGGGCAAAGATGTACCGATCAAAGTCAGTCGACCCCAACGCCTGGCTGCGATTGTGGTGAGTCCCATCCTTGGATGGCTCTGCGGGATCGTAGGACCATCCTCTGCTCATGGTCAAGAGCTGATCAAAGTCAGCGTCGGAAAGAGCTCGATTGCGTTTGCGAAGACGAAAGGAGGTTGACTGGCTGTGATGAAGCTGCATCAAGTCTCGCCTTTGGTTGTCTTTCTCTTGATGATGGTATTGGTGGTGGAGACCTGAAGTGAGTGAGACAGCCCTTTGACGCACGGGAGCTGGTCGGCGGTGTCTAACTGGCAGAGGAGAAGAAGGGCAGCTACCAGCATCATCCGAAGAGTTCCAAGTGGTATCTTCCACATCCATCTCGTCGCCGTTCTGGCAGGGCTTCAAGGGAGACGGTCTACTGAACGCACTACTCGTCGTAGTTACGTCTGTAGCCGACGGAGAGACCATGAAGGGCTCGCTGAGGTGAGCACTGGAACACCATGTGGTGGCGGAAGACCCACGGGCAACTTGAGGCTTGTTGATACAACCGACAACTGCGGGTGATGGTGTCGGTTCGGATACATGCTCTTCCATCGGCACCACTTCCATTGGCACTGAATTATTGTCTTTACTGCTGCTCTTCTTCCGATTTCTCTTCTTGGGTTTCATTATCCAGGCCTTTGTCATTTTGGACAAGCCAGGGAGAAGCTTCGGGGCCATCTTTACTATACTGTAATCAAACTATCAAACTGGAAATAATAAATAAATGAGGCAAGCTATTGGACAAGAGACAATGCGAAACCAAAGGAGTTGTAAACTGATAACATGTGCTTTCGGAGAGGAGGAATTCGAAAAACCCACCCTTTCGCATTTATTTATTACGCAGTGTTGTCGGCTCTCATGGAAGCGAAGGTCACCGCCTCACTCCTTTCTCTCCACAGAGGCATCTCCAAATTGTGGACAACTCCGAGGATCGGGGGATAAATGTCGACAAATACAGCGGGCAGTCCAGGAAAATGTCACACACTTAGACAGAGGAAATGTCACGTCAACAAGGACGGGGTATAGAGTTTGAGAATCCTCTTCTAGAGTGATCTTTACAGTACTTCTAGAGATCAGAAACAAAAATGAGGCAATTGAATATACCGCATCCTCCAGACTCACGCCAGTCGAACTACATTTGCCGATGATCCATTCAACGGGTAGCATCATCGGTTGTTGGAGGGTATGAGTACCAATAGGTACCGAACGGCGCTATGGACAGCAGTCGAATGGCCACTATTTGGCCAGGACAACTGCTTTGTTTCAACCTGCAACATTCCTCCCATTGTCCAAGCACGGCCCAGTGAGCCAAACTATTATGATAGTACATGTAGTACCGGTAGCTTGGAGTTGTGGTCTGTCATATCAAATTGGCTGAAAGCCCAATAAAGCCAGAAGAAAAGCTATACATGTATTCAATTGTTGATACTCCTACCAGCACCTATGCCGTACTTGCTCGCAGCCATGCATGTGCTAGAGAGATACAACGGCTACGAGTGCTTTTTGGAATTTGGAAGGACGAAGCCTGGATCATATCCCTACTTCTCCACGACTTGGTCAGACCTTGAACGGCATTGCAAAGATATATCTGTCCTATCTCGTGGGATCCAGTCTCTGGCTGTTGTGTTAGTTTGCTGGATACTTACAGCCAGTACCGTACTGTTAGAGTATAGAATCATAGAATCTGAGCAAATTTTATGATCCAGCCACGCAGTACGTGACACTAAAAAGGTGTCAGCAGAGGTTTTGATCTGTTGTGCTGCTGGAGGTAAACCGAAGATCCAATCGCGCCTCATAGCTAGTGGCCGAAAAGTCCGGCCAAAGATGAATGTACCGACCAAATTATAGGGCGTTGAAGTTATTCGGTGGCTCGTACTGTAACGTGTAACGTACCGTACTATGCTGTTATACATTGGATTCAATGGAGTGGAGATACACGTACCCATCCGGCAGCTCTCCTCTCTCAAGAGATGACTGGTACATGTTGGCATGCTGGCGGGCTTGACGGGCATACTACTGTACAAGTCCTGAAGTTGGGAATGGGATGTTCGGTGCAGTCGGTGAAATCATAAAAGGAGGCTATGCAACTGAAAGGTAAAAGTTTACCATTTCATTTTAAAAAGAAGCAAACTCTTCAAGCACAAGCAGTTGGCATGCAGTCGGTGAATGTGAGGAGGGGGCCGCACCGCCAGGCCACTCTACTCCGGCTATAATATGTATGTAACCCCACACAAAAACATGATGCTAAACGTGTGGCATCGAGAGATCAACGTTTCTTATAAAAGAAGGTCTAATCATAAAGGAGGCTATGCAACTGAAGAAAGGTAAACGTTTACCTCGTCATCAAAAAGAAGCAAACTCTTCAAGCACAAGCAGTTGGCACAGATGTAGTGTTCGACATTGAGGACCTGCCACTCTCCTGGTTAGCATGTGGAGACATATCGTCGTTGCTATCATGTGTCTGAAGCCTTTGTCTCCAGTAGTTCGCCCCTCGATTTTCTCCAGATGCGCAAACCTCGTTCCGTGCCCCTGCTGGGGCTCCGTGCTGTTGACCATATCCAAGGTCTTGTCCCGTTGGTATTCCTGTCATTTGTTCGCAGTATGCTATCTGAGCCGGTGAAGGGACTCCGTTAAAGTCTTGGACAACATAGCCAGGACGAGCCATGTTGGTGTTGGGGACTTGTGCGCCATACCCCATCTGAGATGGTGCAGGAACTCGATGAAAGCTCTGCGCATACCCCATATGCTGAGCGTATGGTGCTTGAGGAGGGCCACATTGCGAATTGGCATACTGTACGCCTTGCCCGTGAACATGACCCGCCGCCACTTGAGCTTGTTCCGCTTGGAGTGCATGCATCGCATACGCTGCGGCAGGTTGCGAGGCATACGCCAGTTGAGCACGTTGTCTCTCCGCCATGTTACGTCCCCGCATTGGACTGGCCGCTGTTGCCCTAGCGGCACGTTCCTTTCGGGCCATCTGGACAATTTGCTTGCGCTGGCTTCGTAGAAAATCGAGCGGATTGAGCGGCTCTTCGGCTACAGGGTTGCCTGCAGCCTCTCTTTCCAGTCTTTCCTGCCTTGCAATTTCCAGGAGCTGGCTTCTGCGACTGCGGAGAAAGTCTCGAGCAGATACATGTTCTCCCGCGGCTTGACATGGCGGGCCATGAGATTGGACACAGCTACTGCTTGCCGAACCTCGTAAACCCCTTTGGGAGGGCGCGGTCCTGGCAACCGAGGATGGAGCACAAGATGACCCGCATGTTTGAGCGCTGATGCATGATGTACTTCGGACAAGACCCTTCTGAATGGGTGCTCCTCTTGCGGATCGTTCTCTTTTAGCCATTTGAATGATTTGCTTGCGATGGCTTCGAAGGAAGTCCATAGGGTTCATTTCTTCTTCTACAACGGGATTGCCGGTAGCTTCTCTTTCCAATTTTTCTTGCTTTGCAATCTCAAGCAGCTGTGCCTTGCGACTTTGAAGGAACTCACGTGCTGAGATTTTCTTGGGTGCCGATGCGGCATCGGGATTCGCGCTGGCAGGTGGTGTTGAACATTGCCTTAGTGAGGTTCCGCCCTCGCTTACTTCAGGTGGGCGGAGCATCGCGCCAGCGGCAGAGATGCTTCTTGCCACTCCTCTGGCTCGGCTGTCCTTTGAATCATGCACTGGGCTTCTGCCACTGACCTCCCTCTTGACAGGGCGGTACGACGCTGCCCGCTGGACGCCTCCACGGAGGTCAGCTAAATCCCAGGTTGCGTTTCCTTCTCCTTGATTCTCTGCTAGGGAACCTCCCGATTTCGACTTCTTGAGGCTGGACGACGAAGACCGTTTGACTTCGGAGGAACTATTATTGCGAGACGGCGGTTTCTCAACCCCAAGGGAGGAGACCTTGCCGGACGAAGCTGTCCGCTTGGGAGAGACGCCTCGTTTCAACCCGTCCTTGCGCATCTCCCGACGTTTGTTGGCGCGATTGTGATACCCTGTCAGATCATTATTTGACGAAGAACGGCCGCGGTCCTCATCGACATCACTCACATCCAACAAGTCCTGATTGGAGCCCCTCTTGATGCTATGACTAAGATCTCCGCCTCTTCCACTTTCATCACACAAGTCATTCTTCGAGCCTTTCCTGGTATCGCGTTGAAGACGTAGGTCCCCGTCACTGACATCGTCGTTGCAACGCCCAGAGATCTTCTTGAAGTGGCCATGCCTGGAAGCAAGAGTTCGCTCCTCTTCTCCGTCGCGATCGTTGGACTTGGAGCGAGATTTCGATCTGTGGTGGCTGCTACCATGACCCAAACTGTTTCGGCTACTGGGCCGATCTCGCATATCACGGGAAGACGCTTGATCTTTGTCAGGTCGACTATTGCTGCTGACTTGACGGTCGCTTCGGTTCCGGTCGCTCGAGCGGTGATGAGAACTGCTCTGACCGTCCTCAAGCCTTGACGTTGAGCGAGAACGATGGTGGTGACTGCTCTCGTAGCCCAAACTATTCCGGCTGCCGTGACGATCTTCATCTCTCGATCGTTGATCCTTGTCGGCACGACTGCCACTGCTGCTGGAATTGCGACTGCGTCTGTTGCGGTCAGTGCTCGAGCGGCGGAGACGCGAGTTGGAACGGTGATGGGAGCTGGTATCCCCACCATCGTCGGGCCTTGACGAAGATCTTGAACGACGGTGGGAGCTTCGCTCACTGTACTTGTCTTTGATTCTTGACGTATTAGAGCGCGACCGCGGCTTATCATTGGAGTCTCTTCCAGATCTAGACTTCTTTTCGTCCTTCTCTCTTTGCTCTCTCCGAGACATCCTTGAATCCATCCCAACGGATTGATCGTCGCATCTACTCCTTGTATCTCTGTCTCTGTGGGACATACTAGACTTTCTATACTCTTTGCGGATGAAGCAGCTGCCGAGATCACCCTTGCTTTGACTTCGGTTATCATCCCTATGCCTCTTCTCCTCTCCTTCATTGAGCCTTGTGTCACTTGATGAACGCCTGCTACTATCAAGTTTTTTGTCGCTCGAGGATCGTCTACCGCTATCAAGCCTCTTGTCGCTCGAGGATCGTCTGGGTTGCTTTTCAGCATTGGCTTCCAGAGACTGCGCAATCAACTCCTTGTAGGTTCCTTCGTCGAAAAATCTACGATTTACAAACTTCTCAAAGAAGTAGGCCTCATAGCCATACTTGCGGATGTCGCGATCGTCCTTTTCATCTCGCACCAGCCTTTCAAAGGCGGTGTTAACTAGACTGTTACCACTGATCTCTAGGGCTCTCAGATCATCTTCTGTGACTAAAGCAGCAAGGGGATCATTTTGTTAGTCTGCTAGCTACGGTAGCAACCAAGACGGAGACGCACCCCCAATACATCGGTCTACTTACATTCATCTGTATCCCTTAGCCCCTTCAAGCGGAACTCTCCCTCTCCCACACTCTGATGTAGATAGTGGCAATTGGGGCAGCAGAAAACGCCCAGCTTCCTGTTGTCGACCGGGCATACGAAGAAGGACGCCCATGTTGGCTTGTTGTCAGAACGATCGCATTCTGAGCAGGTGTCATTCCCTGGGCGCTGCAGCAAACGCTGGAGCCGTTGTTCGATGTGAGGCACCGTCATCTTCTACTCGTTTCAGTGCCTTTGTAAGATGTGAGAATGGCAGCTTCTAAACCTTAAAATTCGCGGTTTGGAGACTTCAACAGCTCCCTGACACCGTGTTAAGAAATGCAAGGAACAGTGGTGACGATCTATCTGATGGCCTGTTCGGTCGAAGGGAGCCTTGTTTTCGTCTTCTGAGGTAGCCATGCAAGGCTACCGGTATTGTGGCCACTCTAACCAAAAGTGGAGTTGGCTTTCTGCCTTCTGAGCGAGGGCCAGAACCGATTGAGGAGATGACTACAGCACAGATCGGCTCTCCAAGAATGTCCAGCTGAATGCGACTAATCACACTTACTTGCTTGGAAACTGTTTCGTCAGTCCAGGGTCCAGGGTCCAGGGTCCAAACGCTGGCTACTGGCTCGCCTGTGATCCTGTGATCAACTACTAGATCTATGTACGGAGTGACAGTCAGTAACTACCATACCGGTAGACGCTGAGACCGTTCCGGGGAAGCTTGTACCGTACGGTAGGAACGGTACTGAAAGGTGAAGTTTATCCTCAGATGGGGTAATTAAAAAAAAGTTAAAATAGTTTATAATACCTATCCTACCCAAATACGATGTAAGCTGTCGGAGAAGAATATTTTCACTGGATATCAACCTGTACCCTGTACGTCGAAATGAGTACCGTAGAACCGTACGTATCTGCGGTACGTCGTACCAGCTGGCATCGGCTGCCGATGACTTACTTTTACTGTGCGCAGTACCCGGTACGTGGAACACGGATTCACTGAGAAATAGGTAAGCTCTTACATCACCCGGAACAGCTTGCGAAGAAGGCAGCGTCAACGTGTCTGAGTTCTCCGATCCGAACACTCACTGTCGTTCAAGAGCATACTAGACTCTACCTGGATGACCTAGAAACACCGTGAACAAAGAGTTTACATGCCACATAATTAAATTACTAATGCTTCTTAATTCCAGTAATACCAGATCGTTTTAATCCAATCGGTTTCAACCGAATGATTCAATCGCTGATTCGGTTTCGAAATCTTCGGAGCTGACAGCACGATTAGCAAAGAAAAAAATACCTCACAATGGCGCTCATGCCGACGTGCCGTAGGCATGGTTATCAGTGGAATCCAGCGGACCGGCTCCGGGAGGGTGTTCTATTGGTATTGACTGAGGTTGCCTCTGCGTGGGTCCGCTACTTTCGGACCATAACATGATCAACTCACCCTCGGCATCAGGTGGTCTTTGTTGCCTCGTTGTCTCCGTGTTTGTCTTGTTTCGGTACAATCGAAAATCTGAAATTCGGACCCAACCAAAATGTGAGCGCCAGTACGTCACTGTAAAAAAAAGAGTACAAATTCGGACTGTACCAGGGCTTGGAGATCCTACGGCTGAACGACAGTGACTCCCAAGTGCTATTGTAGTGGACTACTTACAGTACCGGTACTGTAGTACTGTAGGAATGTTTCCGATAACCGGTAACCGGTACCTGTAGATACAGAACTGCCACAGTGAAGTTAAACTGTAGCTGGATCGAGAACACGCATACAGCTTCCAGCTGTTTCGATCGACTTCTTAGCACTAAGTCTTTGCAATGGAGAATGAGAAGGGGCCTCCGACCTACTCTAGGTACCGGTACATATTATGCATACATGTACTGATCATGAGTAGTCACATACATTAGAGCTCATACTCTAGAGTACATGTACTGGTTCCGGTACTGAGTATCATTGGAGGGTACTATTCCATTCCTTGGATGCAGGATCTCTGTAGCTTTAAATTCGTACAGTGCTACATTGCGGTACCGGTATGGGGCGGTACGGTGCGACGCAGTGGGATACGGTGTGCACTACGCTAAAAGCTAGTGTAAAGATCTTTCGGGTGTTTTGAGTTTGAGAGAATGAAAGTTATGAGAGAGATTAGAAAGCTATGAAAACTAATCAACGAGAGAGATCACAATCAAGGGATCGTAGATCTGAACTCCCGCGGGAGACTGTATTGTGATAAGTAGGTTGTGTAGTAATCCTACTCGTTCACGATCCAAAAACGGAACGCGTGGAAGATTCGTCATAATTTATCTAGTAGCGTGAATCTCTCCACGCCAGCTAAATATCTAGCGCGATGTTTCACCATCGACCTAGTATGACTAGCGGTCATGAGAACCCTGTCTCAATGACTATTCACGGAGACTCAGTCATGAGTCGAACTCAAACCCTATCTAGGATCGAGTCGCGAATAAGGCTAAGAGCCGTGTATGCATTCGCCCCCTGACAAGGGTCACAGAAGCACGACATCAGTCGGACAAGAGAACATATGATTAAAGTGCGGGGCACTCTCAGAGATTGGATGTAAACATGTGTCGCACGATGACAATCCTACAAGGGGATCAGGCCTTGTATGGGTGTATATACCTTATGTTCCAAGTTTGGTAGACTGTGCCGCCATTGCGGTAGCATGTTGGAGCCGTACAGTGCCATTGTCATTGACTCGGTCTATAGTGTAAGGACCTTTGTACTTTGGCTGACCGTACTTGCGGTGCTGATACTGTTGAATCATCACGGATCGTTGACATTGTATTGATGAGGGACACGCGTCGCGTTCTCCCTATCGTTGTTCTGTTGGATGAGTCGTTGGCGACGTTCCTTGATGTACTTCCGTTTGCTTCGAAACGGACGTTGTGGATCGCGTCACGTTGAACACGAGCAAGGTGGTATGAATCGTCTTCATTGCAAGCGAACCCGTGAGGACTCCATCCCAGATCCATTCACGAGGTCGCTTGGCACTTGATGTTTTGAACAGCGATCAATTGCGTATGGTTGATGAGCACGCTCGACCATGGAGTTGGCTTGAGGTTGCGCGTGTGATGAACTTGCGACGAAGTCATTTCTCCCGGAGAGTCTTCTTGCCTTCTGCGCGGAACTCACGTCCCTATCCATGATAACCTCAGCAGGCCATGATACCGAGTAAGCCACGTTTTTCTAGGACGATGGCTACTTCGTTGCTGCCTTGGAGCAGATCTCTTGCAATCTCAACCATCCGGTTACGGATCAATATTGTCAAGCAATGAAGTGTACAGGAATTCTTTTTCTTGGATCCCCGACGTTGTAGGGACCTATCAGGTCAAAACATAGTCTTTCCCAAGGGATCTCCTCGCAAGTCTTTGGAGGCATCAATCCCAGTTACGCGTCTTGGTTTGTTCATCTGGCAGCTTTGGCAACGCTGACATACGGCCTGCCCAGTCTTGCGCAGTCCCTTCCAGTGTAGTGTTGGCTGATGTAGTTCTGTGCGAGTCTCGCCAGGATGCATCAGCACACTGGTACCATTCGACTAGCTCTTCTGCATAGTCTTAGGTACGACGATCTTATCGTCCTTAACTACTAAGTCGTAAGACTTATCCCTCTGGGGAAAGATTGCTTCTTGTTGTCGTTTGGCTTGTCCTGAGGAGTTTCTTGATATCGTTGTCGTCTTTCTGACGATGTTCGATCTCGGGAACAGAGAGGGAACTTGCTAGGGAAGTCTCTTCGTCTGCAGCCATGAGCTCAGCGATCTCGCTGGGTCCATTGTTCTGAAGAACCGTCGTTGTTGGAGATGTTTAAGTCTCGACAACGCATCAGCGACGATGTTCTGTTCGCCCTTGATTACCGTAGTTCAGGGCCGTATTCTTCCAGAATAAGGCGCCATCGCATTACGCGATCGGTATGAAGTTCTTACATGTAATTCTTGTGGTCCGTATGTACAACCATCTTCTGTCCCAGAAGAATGTTACGGAATCTTTTAGAGTTTTACGATACATGAGAAGTTCCTTCTCGGTAACTGAGTGTAACGGTCTGAGCAGGGTTGAGCTTCCTGCTGTTGAACGCGATAGGTTTTCCCTTCTGGGAAATTACTGCACCTAGTTAGTATCACTCGCATCCGTGTGGATAACGAATGTATCGTTGAAGTCAGGGTAAGCGAGCAAGGTTTCTTTGCTGATGATCTCTTCATCTGGCTAAAGGCTTGTCGTGTTCGCTTCCCATTTCCACTTCGTTGTTTTGAAGTCAACGAAGCGAGTGGGGCCAGTACATGTGATCGTCTAATCCACATGTCTCGATAGTAGTTCACTAGTCCAATGAATCTACCGGAGTTCTTTTCTGTTGGTAGGAGGAGCGATATTCTGGGTCGCGTCTATTTTCTTGGTTATAGGTTGGATCCCTTCTCGAGTAATCAGTAACCTAAGTATTCAAGTTCTCCTCTTTGAAGAAGGACTTGGTAGCATATGATCTTAAGTCCGGCTTCTCGAAGCCTTCGGAGAACTTCATCCAACTTTTCAACGTGACTGCCAGATCGCCGTTAGTTAGGATGAGAGATCATCAATGTATGCACGACGTATTCTAGGTCGGCATTAGTGTTCCCATCTTCTCTTGGGAGATGTCGGGACTATTACATAGGCCCATTGGCAACCTCTGTACTCTACTTTCCCCACGGAGTACATGTACAGAGTTGCTTCGAGTGAGGTGACAGTTCGATGTGATAGTATCCCATGTTCAGGTCTAGACTAGTAGCGTACTTGAATCATCTAGATTCAAGAGCATGTCTGTATTTTTGGGATAGGATAAGGCTTCGCTTAATCCTTTTGTTCAGTTCCCGGAAATCAGAGATGAATCGTACAGATCCATCTTTCTTGGGAATGATAAAAGTTGGTGCCGCCCACTCGGAACGGTTCACCTTCTTGAGTACTCCTGCCTCGCAGAGACGTTCAACCTCCTCTTAAGAGTGTTTGGTATGGACACGTGGAATAGGAAAGCCCTGGCATGATAGGGGTTAGCATCAGGAGAAGTTTACTTCGTAGTCGTCCATCTGCCTTTCCTAAAGTACCTCAATAGGTCAGAGTACTTCTCAGTAAGGAATGAAGCTGTTCCTTTCTTCCTTGTTTAACTGATCTTGACTTTGGCAAACCTGCCTTAAGTCAGCTTGTTCGTATTTCGCATCAAGAATCTTCTTGAGAATCTGCACTGTCATCAACGGCAGTAGGATCAGAATGAAGAAGTTCTCTTCTTCATTGTGTGTCGCTGTCTTTCATAGGAATAGATGCGCCATCCCACTCCACTGACATGGTATGAAATCGAACTTGAATCCTAAGTTAGAGAGAATGTCTCGACCTATGATCATGTCATACGCCCCCAGCTCTTGGTGACGTGTAAATCCCACTCGATAATTCTATCTTCGTGGAATTCAGGAATCATGAATGCACCTTTGCACTTCGTGCTGGTGTTTAATTCTCCTGCAGGGGTAGTCCACATTGTTTGGACGCCCCCAAGATCCTTCATGCGTAATTTCTTAGCATGAGGTGAGCAATCAAGTTCCGGATGCTCCTGTATCCAGTAAGACAAACGGTGTAACGGGTTTTGGTTCCCTTTTTCTCGCTTGTTAAATCTAACATAGACGATGGTTTGAGGTCTCTTGTCTTGCGACGTTACGAGGTGGTTGGCCACGGACGAGGTTAACATGCTAAATAGATACATCAGAGTCTAGTTGAGCGCTTCTAGCAATCATCTAATTTGCCGTAGTGTTCATCAGTTGCAAACAATTCTTGTTTACTAGTTAGTGAGATATCTTCATCACTTTGGTATGAGAAATCGGAACATGGTTCCGTTGAGTCATCATCCTGGCCTAACCTCAGATAGAGATTTTCCATCCAAGTGATTGAAATTGATAAAGGAGTTGTCCTCATTGTCAGAGCTTCTGATTTGCGTTGGGAACATGGTTGCGAAGTTTGCAAGTGTTGCACAGTATCGTCGATCTCGTTTTCTTCGTCATTGTCGAGAGAGGAAGAATGGGTTTGTCACGCAACTGTTTCTCGAAGTTGCGGAACGCATGCTTTCCTTGAGCCATCTTCATGGTGAGGAATAGGTTGAGGTAGCTGAAAGCTATTGTGTTTGTTAACAAAATGCACTACCGCTTAAAAGCTAGTGTAAAGATCTTTCGAGTGTTTTGAGTTTGAGAGAATGAAAGTTATGAGAGAGATTAGAAAGCTATGAAAACTAATCAACGAGAGAGATCACAATCAAGGGATCGTAGATCTGAACTTCCGCGGGAGACTGTAAAGTGTGATAGAGTAGGTTGTGGTAGTAATCCTACTCGTTCCACGATCCAAAAACGGAACGCGTGGAAGATTCGTCTAGCATTTATCTAGTAGCGTGGAATCTCTCCACGTCAGCTAAATATCTAGCGCGATGTTTCACCATCGACCTAGTATGACTAGCGGTCATGAGAACCCTGTCTCAATGACTATTCACGAGAGACTCAGTCATGAGTCGAACTCAAACCCTATCTAGGATCGAGTCACGAATAAGGCTAAGAGCCGTGTATTGCAGGTGCGCTGTGGTGCAGTGCGGTAAAGTGCCATGGGCACAAAAATTGTCAACGAAAATTGTCTGCAAAATACTAAAAGACTGTCCACTCATATTTCAGAAGTAATACTTGACAATACTGAAAGTGTTCGGGAAAAGTGTTCAGGAGACGTGTTCGGAAGCAGTGTTCGAGAGAAGTGCTCCCAAATTTGCAGAGGAATGAAATTCTCAGCTTGCCAAAATAGGCAGCTCTCAGCTCTGACTTCACCGGACAACGCCAGCTACACTGTACCGGGCGATACCTAGCTAGTAGATACCCTTTATGTCCTCAGACGAGTTACCAGCTCTCAGTACTTCACTGTCTGTGAACATCAGAGTTCATGGACAATGTCTGGGAAGATGGTCGAGATACCCAGTGATCTTGCCCAACCACCTATGGTAGTCCTTTCCACACTCCTGACCCTGCAGACCAGATGGCACCCTTGCTTCCAGCTTCCACCAGCAACACTGAAGCAAATGGCATCTCTTTCAGCAGGTTTACATAGCTCTGTCCAAAGATTGCTTGGTGATGGGATTTTAGCTAGCGGGCTGGCTCGTGGTGGTCGGGTGCGGCAGTTTTCCTGTCCCGAGAACAGAAATCGAACATGCGGCCTAGCCTTCAGCTTTCTTTCTAGAGAGTCAGTTCTCATTGGTTGGCTGTATCTTTGAGTGACTGCATCATTCGAAGTGTCCGAAGAACTGTTGATGTTTGGAATAGGGGTGGTCAATGTTGCTCTTTCAAACCACTTTTTTGGCCCATTTTTTTCCCTTTCTGGGGGAGCCAGAAGAGGGGAAGGATCGAGCAGAAAGGGGATCCAGCGCAGGAACCGGAGAGGTGCGGAGAGGGGAAACATGACCCTTGTAAACATGTTACGACATGCTTTCAGTTGAATAGGTCACAAGCCATTCGAATGACTTCTTTCAAGCTTCTTTCAAGCCTTGATGTTAATGCTTTCCCTTGTAGCTTGTTCTCCGCGACTCCTGACTTTAAATAATATCTGATGCGTCAGAGTTCCTGGGTCTTCGGAAGCTCAGAAGATGACCCAAAGAGTGAAAAAAAGAAAAATTCTGCGCGAAACAACACCTAAAAAGGTGTTCTTTCGGAGGAGTGACTTTTTTTCTTTTCTTGCCTCTCCGACCCTTCTTTTCAGCTCCTTCCTGGCCTCCCCCAGAAAAGAAAAAAAATGGGCCAAAAAAGTGGATTGAAAGAGCCACATCGAAGACCCCTAAGGGCATTCTCTAATAAATTCGTCCGTCCTAAAACTCGTTCTAAGTGTATTTTAGAACGAATTTTTAGGACAAAAGCAATCTTTAACTCAAATTCGTCCTAATTTTAGGACGATTTTTAGGACGAACTGAAAATTTCCGTCCTATTTTTCAAAAATACGACGAAAAAACAAACTCGTTCTAAAGACTCGTCCTAACAAATCCTTTAAATCCTTGAGTCTCCTGATGACATCATCGAGTTCACAAGATTGAGTTAACAAGACTGAGACACCCATTCCCGGCCCTCGAGCTGCCTGATGAGGAGTACGGTAGCTAGTAGCTAGCTAGTAAAAGGAAGCGCCAGCTAGATAACAAACCCCAACAATAACCACCACACCATTGACCACAGAAGTGCTTCGTGGGAAGCTCCTAGCCTCACTATCAAGACCACTTTAATAGGCTGTTAGAATATTGGTGCGTGTTGGTGGGACGAGTTTTCTTAGAGAATGGACTTGTCCGTCCTAAAACTCGTCTTATCTAAGTCCAGTTTTAGAACGGTTTTTTTAAGATTGCCAATTTGTCCTAAAAATTCATCCAAATTTTCTTGTCCTAAGTTTAGGACGAGTTTTAGGACGAGCACAAGTAGAGAATGCCCTAATAATGAACTTGTTCCTGTTTTTTCCCTTCTTCCCGAGCGCGCCTGCTTTCTTCGCAGCCAAGAAAGGATACATAGATCATTCGCTTGAACGGCTCGCTCTAACTGCAAACCAAAGGAGAACGACCCACATTTGACAGCTGCGATGCCCAGCTGAAGACAACATCAGCAGGTCAGCAGGGAATAGTTGTATGACCACGAAGCAAACCCCGCAGGTGCTGCACCCAACAGCAAATACCGGTACGTTACTCACATAAAATACTTCACCAGAAACTAGTCGCTTAGGCATATATTTGATTAATGATTTCGATACGCCAGAGATTGCATTCTACCAGCACGCCAGGATACTCAATCGGCACTGTAAAGCTCTTTGAAAAGGGGGCACTGACTGATCTTCTCCAAGTACGAATTGACTTTGGGGTGGGCATCCAACATTTCCTTACCGCATCCGGCAAAGCTGATCGTCATCAAGTCATATCCCGCGACAACATCGACCGCAGTCCATTTGTCGCCCAACAAGAAAGGGCCTCCGAACTGATCCAATGCTTGCTCGTAAGTCGGAGCAACAACCTCATGCCATTGTTTCTTCTTTTCCTCCAACACCTTGACGGGTGTCGCTTCCGTTCCTTCTGGCGCCATGTAGTGGAAAAGGATGGGGACACCAATGTGATAAGCTGTCGCAGGACCGAAGTGCAGCAACTTGAGAAACTCAGCTCGTGTGGGCTCTCCAGGGGAAGGCCAGAGCTTGTTCGTCGTATCATAAGTCTCCAACAAGTATTCAATCATTCCACCCGACTCGTTGAGTTTCAAATCCTTCGTGGGATCGTAGAAGAAGGGAAGGCGCTTTTGAGGGTTTAGTTTCGTTAGGATGGGATCTTCTTTAAGCTGCTGTTCAGTAATGGTAGCAATCTCGATAGGTCCGCCTTTACCTGTCAATCCAAGTCCCTTCAACACATATGCTGGCTTGGAGGACGACCAGAACTTGGTGTGGAAGAGCGTGGGCTTGATCGGGGTGGCGATGGAGACAATCATGGTGAGCGTTCGGAGTTGCGATATTTGTTGGTATTTGTGTTATCGATTCAACTGAAGAGTGAGGACAAGAGAGAAGCAAAGGCCTTGGATACTGATACCGTTCTGGTGCAAGTGCGTTCCATTCAAGAAGATATGGAGAGATATTTGCTGCCAAGGAAATCTGTGGAAGCATAAAAAGATATGAGGGTCAAGAGCAAGATTGACACCGGAAGGAAATTTCTGGTGGTAGAAAGTTGCTTCCAATGAAGCATGATTGGAGAGTACCGGTACAGTGCAGTAGAGGTAGGGATTTAGACATCACCCGTCGCTGGCAAGCTGGCAAGAGCTTCATTAGCCACGGGAAAATGTATGTGGTTGCATAGCCCCAGACGAAAAGGAAGCACCCAATTTTAGTGTTCTAGCTGGCGTTAGTTTATGAATGCTTTCTGTCAAGGGAAAGGTACTGAAGACACTAAAGCACCTGTGATTTGATGCTATTGATACAATCCGCCTGCTGTGGCATTTGCGAAGGCGAATCGAGTTGGAACTTCTACCTGACCGCTGCTGGTGCCTTCCTCGTCAATGGATGACGGTGGCAAAGATGTGCTCGCATAATCAAGAAGGCCATCTTGGTTGATTTCTTCTACTGCTGCTTCGCTGCCTCCAACCGATGAAAAGATACAACCCCCCAAGATAAATAGGCCACCTACCATGCCAATGGGAGTCATAGTCTCTCCCATAGTCACATATGCAAAGGCGGACCCAAAGAGAGAAACACTCGTCATGAGCACAGTCAACTCGGCAGCGGATACTGTCTTGAGTGCGATTGTCTCCAGGTACAAGGCCAGGGCCGTGGATACCAACGCTGTCCAGGCCAAACCACCAACCAAGAGCCCGTCGCTCATCCAATCCGGCATTTGCTGCAAGGTAGCGGGGATGTCTTCAGTCACACCACAAAAGATTGTTGCCCCCATTGCCACTCCAACGAGTTGTCCGACTGTAATCCGGCCTGCTTGAGTTGGATACTGACTGGATATTTGTTCCAGGCGCCAGTATCCCACCCCAAACATGGCAGCCTGCGCCAAGCAAAATGCATCCCCTTGACTAAATGACATTGGTGTCCCGGTGAGGAAAGAGGGACCCAGCTGCAAGATGCCTACTCCCAGGATTGCCAAGGCCACGGAAGATAGTCCCTTGGCTCCCATGCGTTTCCCACCAAGAAAAGAATCCAACAATGGGACCACAATCACTGCCAGGGCGTTGAAAAAGGCACTCTGTCGGTAGAGAGCGTCAGATACCAGAGAAAAGAAACGGCCAGAGATTTGTTAGCCCACCCTGAAACAGCAGCCCACAAAAGATGAGAGTACTAGTAGAGGTACCTTACCTTGCTGGCATCGGCAGTCTGCAATCCAATGGCTTGCGCGAGGTAGCCCATGCAGTACCATCCTCCAATTTCCATGCCTGCCAAGGTCGCTGGCAACCGTTCCTCAATCTCCGTAACTGAAGCCTTGAGATTTTGCTTGCCCTCTCCTTGCAGAACCATGGCGGTGACCACGGCAGCTGCCAGACCAAACCGAAGGACAGCAGATACCGCAAAGGGTATTTGTTCATCAATGACCTTGACGACGGCAAAGTTTGTCCCATAGACAGCACTGGCCGCCAATACCAAGAACCGTGCAAAGTTGAGCGACGGCTTTTCGAGACTCATGCCATTTCCAACAATCGATTCCGAGAGATCAAATTTTGCGAAACTCTCGGATGAGTCATCATCCGAGAACAATCGGTAGCCGGTGTTTTGGCGGCTGTGAGCGGCGGTAACCACCAGATAATCGTCTGCCTCAACAGTAGATGACAGCGAGGTATCTCGGGGTGCGAGAGATTCGCTTGGCTCGCCAAAGCCTCCGCTGCCTGCAAAGACGGAAAGGGAAAGAGGCCGCTGTGTCCTTGGTCGTGAGGAAGCCGCAGGCTTCCTCACAAAGCCTCCGCTGCCTGCAATGACGGAAATGGAAAGAGGCCGCTGTGTCCTTGGTCGTGAGGAAGCCGCAGGACCAAATGCGAAGGCACATTCGTTGAGCAGCAACAGTGGAGCCACAACCAAGGCAATCAAAGTAGTGCAATTATACCGTCCCATTTTCAAAGTGTCTTTCGAAGAAGCTACACGGCCGCAAATGTGTGGAACAATGAAGTAGTGATCGTCGATGTTAGCTTCCGACAAGGAAAGGACTTGACTATCGATGAGGCAATCATCACACCCACCTACGAATGCTCAGCACGATCCTACAGGCACACAGCGAGATGCATGTTAAGCAAACAGGTACTTCCCTCGCTTGAGAGGCAGTCAGAATTCCTGATGCATATCTCTGCTAGCTAAAGGAATGAGGAGCCGAGAATCCAAGCTCTTCAAAAAGTGAGGAGCCCATTAGGTGCTTCCGCCAAAGTACTGTTTTACTATCAAACACCAAAACCAAACAATTTCCCACGTCATTTGTTGAACTTGTTGAGCATGACGCATCGCGCGCAGTGATGGGGGAACTTGGAGATGGAATTCTTTCCCTCAAGGGTATATCTTTACATACCCAAGTGACCCTAGATTCCAGGTTCCACCAGGATTTCTTCAACCGTGTGCGCTGTTGGTACCGTACTAGTACATGTACCGGTACCGGTGTTTGTAGCGTTGGGACACTTCAAGGAGAGGTCCTCTGCTAGCTAGCTACGGTAGCCACCTCAAGGTTGTCATCTGCCTCTGCCCTCCACGGTAAAAGTATAGGAGCCATCCTGCACAAGTGCTTTCGCTGCATGGCCGTGTTGTGGCCCTTGAATGAATTTGGAAGTCGCGAGTGTTCGGTCTGCCGTCTGTTTTGGAGGCATCCCAGTCATTGAATCTTTGGCTTGCTTCTAGAGTGATCTGCCCATTAAGACCCGCAGTAGATTAAGACTATTGTAATAAATAGAGGTACGTACGTAGGATCCTACGTAGACTCAGTACCAGAGCCTTAGAGGTGCTTCCTAAGGGGCCACGTAGGATCTTACAGGATCCACCACGTAGGATCCTACGTAGATCAGTACCGTGGAGTCTTAATATGCAGATGAAAAGAATTCGTGTCAAAAGTGAGGATAATTTCAACTGCTCATAACTCCACCAATAAGTACACTGTGATGCTGCGAATTTAATGGCTTACTCAACAACATGTGCTCTTTCGATTCAGCTACTTAGAAGTGGAATATTCGATATCCAGCTCTGAAGAGAATATTCCGCGGAACGGTCGGTCTTAATACCCAGATCACAATCATTGTTTGGCTTGCTTTTTGGCTGCCGCGACGTGATTGGGGTTGGCTTGAATCAAAAACGAATGTGCAGCCACCAAAGCCTGGGATCAATTCTATGATACCGGGAGTACTGAATTTGGACTCTTATTAGGTGCTTTTAAGGTGGTTCCGTCCAGAATGTAAGCCAGCTTTAAGCTGTTAATATTCGCACCAATTTCATCGCGAGAGATCTAGTGAAACAACAAACAATCGATGGAACAACAGCTGCTGCTAAAGGTGTGTTGTAATCGATGTGTAGTACATCGATCCAACCTCTATCAATAGAGGAGGGCTCTGTAATAGCAGTAGGAAGAGGTTGGCGAATGGTATGAGTGGCGCGTTCCGCTTCACCTGATGGCATTCTTCGCTCGAAGAATGCTTTCCGTCGCGATCAAATCGGCTGCTTGCAGTCGATAAATCTCGATGCCTGCTGGTGCTATGCCCCCGCAACCAGCTACTACTGTCCTCCTTATACTATTAGAAGGAGATAAATGTATGGTTGCAGGGGCGTAGCAATAGCAGGCACTGAGAGAATGAGGTCTCTAACACTGCGATTGCTGTTTGGTGCTTTTGAATCGATTGTTGTTCTTGTTCATTCAAACGGAATCCTGCTTTTTCGAATGAAAAAACGGTGAACTTAGTGCACTACGCTAAAAGCTAGTGTAAAGATCTTTCGAGTGTTTTGAGTTTGAGAGAATGAAAGTTCCCCATCAATACAACGTCAACGATACCGTGATGATTCAACAGTATGAGCATCCGTCAATACGGTCAGCCAAAGTACAAAGGTTCTTACACTATAGACCGAGTCAATGACAATGGTACTGTACGGCTCCAACATGCTACGCCAACGGCGGCACAGTCTACCAGACTTGGAACATAAGGTATATACACCCATACAAGGTCTGATCCCCTGTTAGGATTGCCATCGTGCGACGCACATGTTTACATCCAAATCTCATGAGATGCCCGCCCTTTAAAATCATATGTTCTCCTTGTCCGACTGCTGTCGCGCCTCTGTGGACCTGCAGGGGGCGATGCAATACACGGCTCTTAGCCTTATTCGCGACTCGATCCTAAGATAGGGTTGAGTTCGACTCATGAACTAGTTCTCGTGAATATCATTTGAGACAGGGTTCTCAATGGACGCGCTAGTCATACTAGGGCGATGATGAAACATCGCTCCAGATATTTAGCCAGCGTGGAGTAATTCCACGCTACTAGATCCAGGCTAGACAAACCTTCAACGCGTTCCGTTTTAGGACCGTGGAGAGACGTAGGATTACTACCACAACCTACTCTATCACACTTTATAGTCTCCCGCGGGAAGCCAGATCTACGATCCCTTGATGATGATCTCTCTCGTTGATTAGTTTTTCATAGCTTTCTAATCTCTCTCATAACTTTTCATTCTCTCAAACTCAAAACACTCGAAAGATCTTTACACAGCTTAGCGTAGTGCACAAGTCGAAAAGCTGGTTGCCGATTTTTGCAAATGCCCTCATTGCGACCTTGATGGTGAGCCGATGCCGTTGATCATGACCGTCCACAACTGCGGCATTGTGTCACAAATTCGACTTAGATGCGCCAACGAAGAATGCGAGTTTGTCTACGAATTACCCATTCCCGCAAAGACAACAATGCATGCTGACGGCAAGAAATATGAGAGGAGCACCGATTACGAGCTCAACCTAGTGTTCGTTCTTGGCAATCTTGCGAATGGTAACGGTGGAGTGGAGCCGGCCAAACTGCTTGGGTTGATGGGGCTACCAAATGTACGCAATGTTGCGAACCTTCCCACGATAGAGCGACGGATTGGCCCCATTTTGCGGGAATTGAGGGACGAAATCCTCATGGAAAACACTGGACGAGGAAGTCAGACGTCAACAACAAGGAAGAATTATTTGGCGTGGAAGTATCATCACCTGAGCAGCACAAAGACCATCCCGTCAAGATCAAAATTGAAGGGACTCGTACGACGGCGCTTGGCAGCAGAAAGGATCCGGCCTTCTCTACAATTCATCGTCTGGCCACGGTAGCTTGGTTGGTGCCATGACTCGACAGGTCGTTGCTTTCGGTCAAAAGAGCAAAAAGTGTGGCAAGTGCGAAAAGCACGAAAAGGATCACCCTAACGCCGATACCCGACCTGACTACCCCGACACTATTTCCCCGCAACCATGATCCAAACGATTCGTCAGGTGCAATGGAAGCGGCGTTGGCCCTGGAAATTGTGATCGACCTATACGACAATAAAGGCATTATTGTGGAGCTCCTTTGCTGCGACGACAACTCGTCCATTCGGGCTGATTTGAAGTGGTCAAACAAAGACTATCTTATCAACAACAACACAACCGTTCTACCGCAGGTTCCCAAGACGAAGGAAAGAATAAGGGTGAATTGCAAGATCGTCCTGACAAAGGGAAACTATCCGGCCATATTCCTGAGCCAAAGTTTTGTGCCGATCCCAATCACCGTCGCAAACAGTTGACTGGGGAACTCATTCGTTTGGATTTGGCCAAGGTCGCAGACAAGAAGACAATGACCAGGTTGGATTCCATTCGTCTTGGCAAGAATTACGGCTACATGGCCCGCACGCTCAAAGACCGGGATGAATCCGAATTTGTTGACGTTGTGTGGGCCTGTTTGGAGCACCATTTGATTCCCACGACAAATGCGGTGATTGGTGCGCTCGCTGCAAGGCAACGCAAGAGGAGCAAGCTGCAAGCAAGAAAGTATTACCGCGACAAGAAAGAAGATGCGGAGCTTTACGAGCTGCTAAAGAAGAAAATGGGCGCTACTGTGAACTTGAACGATTGAGAGAGATTGCCCACGGCTTGGACACGAATGCAAACGAGTCATTCAACAGCGTCTGTACCTGGTTCGCACCCAAGAACAAAGTCTTTTCCGGGTCCTGTTCGCTAGGCCAATCGTCTTGCCTTTGCCGTCGGATCGTCTCCCTTGGATATGTGAGTTTTTCAACCGTGTTTCCTCAAGCTTGGAATTGACATGACAAAACAACAGGTCCACATTACTTCGACGTCAGGCAGAACCACGCAGAAACGATTGGACCGGCTGCAAGACTCCGGAGTACAAACAGTACCGGGCGGAAAAGAAGAAAGAGAGATCCGTTTGGAAACGATTGCCGACGAAGAAGGCTTGGGCAAAAGACCAAATGCTACCGCCACAGGCATGAACTTGACCTTCCGCAAGAGCACTTCCGGATGAGGCCGGCACGGATCGATGCCGAGAATGCCGCAAAACGGCCTGCAAAGAAGATGGAAAACGACAAGACGACAACTAGCAAAGGAAGGTTTTGCCCTTCTGCGGTAAAAGGGACACGTTTCGACAAATCCAAGAAGTGCACCAAGACAGGCGATTCCAAGGCTGCCGCCGAATATGACAGATTGAGTGGGAAGCTGATATCAGAGCTGGCAGCCAGCACTTCCAATTGCAGCTTCTATTCCAGCTGCTAGTGCTTCTAGCCAGGCAGCAAGCATCCCAGAAGCTGAAATTGAGGAAGAGGTAAGCCCAGAGGAAACAGCTCATAATTTGGCACGAATGAGAGGATGGAACCAAGGATTTGGCGATTTAGAGTGCATTCCCTTTGATAGCACTCGATGGAGACAATGACGGAAGACAATTGTTGGAGCCCTGATGATGATGACTGATAGTGATGCTGTGGAAGCAATGTTCTAGCTAGCTAACTAGTTAGATAGATACACTACAGTACTATACTCCTACTATTAGATCATCATTGCATTTGGACTTGTTACCGGTACCAGCGCGGTGTTGGGGTCGACATTCCTATTGTAGCCATGGTCATGACTG